CCCCCCCCCCCCCCGCCAGCAGACCAGGTAGACGGGGAGCAAAGCCGCGGAGGACGCCTGCAGCGGGACAGCCACGGCGCGCCTGGGCTGTCCCGCTGCGGGCGTCCTCCACGGCTTTGCTCCGCGTCTCCCTGGTCTGACCAGCAGACCAGGGAGATGGGGAGCAGCTTTTCTCGCCCCGGAGAATGCGGGCGGCGGGACCGCGGCTCATCTGGGCGTCCCGCCGCTCCCATCCTCCGGGGCGAGAAAAGCCCCGTTCGTAACTGCGGATCCGACATAAGTCGGATCCACGTAACTCGGGGACTGCCTGTATCGATAATATAACAAAGTAGCATATGCATTTACACACAGACACCCTGTTGATGGAATAGTTACCAGATAAGTTGGGTGCGAGGAAGGAGCCGGGTTCTTGTCTGTCCGCACTGATACTCCAGGGTCGTAGCAGGATGGAACCCGAAGAACCATACAGGACACCCCATCCTTTATAGGCTTTTCCTTCTATGCCAGTCAATGCATTTTGCCTTGTCAGACCTTAATCAGTCACTCAGCATCAGCAATTCACAGACACTTACCTTCCTTCCCCCCCCTTCCCCCCCCCCCCCGCATCCCCCTTCTGTTCTGCAATGTGATTTGTCCTTTTCATATTTGTTCATTTTTTTAAATTGTATCCTTTGGTATATATGGTTGTGACTACTTTCTTCCACTATTTGATCTGAGGAAGTGGGTCTGGCCCACGAAAGCTCATCATCTAATAAACCATCTTGTTAGTCTTTAAAGTGCTACATTGTCCTGCATTTTGTTTCACTCAGCATCACAGTCAACCTTCCTGCAACATATGCTTATCGGGAAGTTGTTCTCACAGTCATTTGACATCCGTATGCTGACGACTCCTCCAGTGAAAGTTGTTAGCGGTTCCTATCAAGGGGTGCTTGCCACTAACTTCAGGGTTCGTCAACCTGCCCCGGTCCAGATTGCGTCTTCACTGTGCTTTAGCTTGATTGATAACTGTTCGGTGCTTCTGAGTTTCCGGCTTCTCCTCTAACCATCTGGGCATGCACTAGCCTTCACACTTATCGCTCTCAAAACATTCTTTCTCTCATTCACACAAACATGCATTTACATAATTGCAGCATGGAACAAAGAGGGTACTTCTAGTCACTTCAACAAAGTTACAAGGTCTTTCAACATTAAACTTCCTTCTCTCTATTACAAAGCTTTATCTAACAGGAGAATTACTATGCATTACAATGTTCAGTCTCTTCACTTCCACATGCGAACATCAAACAGAGCTGGAGCTAAGTTAACAAAGCTGCCTGGCCTGTCTGAGGCCTACATCTTGTGTTTAAGTTTAACACAAACCTTTTGCTATAACATACATTCATTATAACAAACTGACTTATTACTTACAAAATTACAGGGCTACCGCTGAAGGACAAGATGTATTTCTGGGCAGGCATGATGAATAAGAGGAGGAGAATCCTAAATCTTTCTATTACTGTAGCACCCAGAGGCCTCACTTGTCAGACAACATTGTGCTAGATGGGGGATAGGCAATTAGACAGAGGCGGTTCACCAGAGTTAGCTCCTGACAGGCTGCTGCCACTATATTTACCCCTGCCTCTGCAGGTCTGGGCGATCGTAGCTGCCGTTGGCCGGGAATAAGCCAATCGGAGTGGCAGGAAGCCGCACAAACTGGGACACCACTTCCTGCAGCTCCCATTGGCCAATCTGCCACCAATTGGAGCTGCAATCATCTGTCCCTGTGGAGGCACAGATCAATACAGTAGCAACAGCCCCCACCAAGGGCTAGCCCTGGCAAACCGGATCT